GGGCGTCGAGTTTAAAACAGATGTGCAAAGGTGATGAGTGCCTGCAGCGTGCTGCCAGAGGTGGTGGTAGAAGCAGACACAATAGCAAATTTCAAGAAGCGCCTGTTTGAATACATGAATACGAAGCCTGTAAGTGAAGACAGTTTTAGTATGAAAGGGCAAAATGTGTTGGTGCAGAACTGGAGGGCTGAAGGGTCTGTTCCTGTGCTGTATTGTTCTTTATTCTAAAAATACTAAGAAACAATTTAAATAATTTGGATAATGTACATTTAGATATTTTTCTAATCAACTTGTTTAGAAATGCTATGACACACCCCTGGAACAGGTGGGACTTCAGCCCCAGACCTCCTCGATCAGAGGAGCAAAATAACCACTGTACCATAAGAAGCCCTTCCCCAACGGTACTACGATACCTGGTCAACACGTAGAGTGGAAAGAGAAATCCCTGCTGCAAAAATCACTAATATATGGTCCGCAAATAAGGGACATATCAGATATTAAACAAATAAAAATTGAAATTGTTATTACATTCAGTCTCAGAATGCAAACAGGTTCTGTTCTGGAGCCCAAACGCAAGTCGATTTGTATGCAGATTGGAACACAATGCAGGAAAATTTAAAATAGCTGTTTGTAAATACAGAAAATGTTCGTACATTGGATCTTTAAAATTAGACCCCTGTATGGATCTCAGTCGTAAGTCTGAGTGTTCGTAAAGTTGGGCCACCCTGTATATTAACAACTGTTATCATGTGAAATGTGACAACGGATGCAATGTGCTTTGTGCATTAAGGGTTTACAGAGGATTCAATGTTTCCAAGAACATTTTGCATTGCACTCAAAGGAGTGACAAAGTGACGGTGGGTGGAGTAGGTTTGTAGAGTTGGATACCTGTGTGCATTGCCCCAGATTCTTTACTGTGGAACAAGGCTTTAAATTGTTCTATGACTAAAAGCTTATCAAAACAAACCTCAGTATTGATCTTTAGTGGCAGTACTCACAATTCTGAATCTCCCAGTCGGTCCATGTTCTGAATGTATGGAGGCAATTTGTGGTGAATCATCTCTTCTTCTTTCTTCATTCTTGGCTCTGCTTGCAGAGCAAACAACTGAGGGACAACATGAAAATTTAGGAAATCAAAACAGCACACACTTTACAGTATAAACGATAAATATTAAGTTTCCAATGTCCCCTGAAAAACACAAGCACCCTGACAAACCAACAATCTCAAGGATTCTCACACCTCCAGTGAAAGCGGGAAGCACACTGCAAGGCAACAAAAAAGAAAATCACCATTCACTAAGAGATAGTGAGAACTGCCAATGCTGGAGTCAGAGATAACACAGTGTGGAGCTGGAGGAACACAGCAGGCCAGGCAGCATCACAGGAACCGGAAAGCTGATGTTTTGGGTCGGGATCAAAAATCTGAAGAAGGGTCCCGACTCGAAACGTCAGCTTTCCTGCTCCTCTGATGCTGCTTGGCCTGCTGTGTTCATCCAGCTCTGCACCTTGTTATCTCATCAATGCAAGTTTACTTGTTTGAATGTGGTGTGCTGAATTTACTGTTCACAATGTAGTCCCCCATTTACCTTAGGGAGACTTAATACATACTTGATGACTATACTTGAACCAACTTTGTTCAGTGCCAAGCTGACTCTTACTTTCTATTCACCTGTCATTTCAATTCTAAACTCCCTGTGATTTGTCATCAGCCTATTGCAGTGTTGAGCCATAGTGGACTCAAGAAACAGTGCAGCCTGCAGGGTTTAGTGAAAGCAAATGCTGCAAACACTCAACAGGACTAGCAGCATCTGTGGAAACAAAACAAACTGAACTTTTCAGATCAATGACCTTTCATGAAACTTTAGATCAACAGTCAAACAATAACTCTGCTTTTCTCCACTGATGCTGCTAGTCCTGCTGAATGTTTCTGGCATTTTGTTTTTATTTCAGAATCATCTGTATTTTGCTTTTGTATTGGATTCAACAATTTCAGATCATAACATCTCCAATTTTTTGGGTAACAGCTGTTAACGATGCCACTCTCATCCTCTAGACCCATCTTTCATTTCTCTCCATAGCCTTCTCTTTTCCCTTGCACTATTGTTTTGTCATTTCATCTCCCCTGCCTTTCAGAGACCCTTCTCAGACCTTTTTTGTTTTCATCTGCTTTTCACTTGGCTTGTTTCTGAAATTGTCACATGGCTAACTTTTTCCAGTTATGACTAAAGATCACAGCCTGAAATGTTAATTCTATCTCTCTTCATGGATACTGCCAGACCTGCTGGGTTTCATACAACAGTGAAACTTGGTTGTGAAGTGCTTTCAACTGTCCACAGGTCATGAAGGACACAATCTATACATTATTTCTCCATTTGTTGGGCACATTTCAGAAAGATTGCCCACCACCATACCCTTGTCTCTTTTACTAAGTGACTCACCTCCATTTTCTCCTCCAACTCGTGCAAAAACTCACCATCAGCAGCCTGTGATGATGTTGCAGTGGAGCTTTTTGCACTGAGGATGGCCCGAGATATGTATTCGATCCTTTGCTGCAGTGAGATTTCGGTGCTGATATAAGAGGGGGGAAAGAAATCATTACCAAAGTACTGATAACCTACAAAATAGACACCACTGAACAAACAGTGACTTTGCAAAGTGTTAGCTATCGTGAGCAGTCAATTTCCTGAAAAAACCTCAAGCAAAGCCGTTCTAATGGAGCTACAACGCTGGTATCAATGTGTCAAATTGCAAAACAACGTCCTGTTTGAATTAGGTGAGAAATCCTATTCCACCAAATGTCATCCATCAGTCTATTCTCAATAATCAGTGGTGGAAGTTGTTGTCATATGAGGTCCTTAGCAATTTTGTAGTCATTTTGGGATGACAGTGGCATGGTGGTAAGATCGCTTGACCAGTAATCCAGAAATCCAGGCTAATTTTCAAATCCTTTCCCTCACCACAGTCCAAATCTGGAACTGAAAGGTCTCCTATCTCAGTAATAGTGACCACTGATTGTTGTAAAAACCCATCTGGTTCATAAACATCCTTTAGGGAAGGAAATCTGTTGTCCTCACCTACACTTGATTCTAGATGTACAGCAAGGTGGTTGACTCTGAACTATCCTCTGAAATCATTTAGCAATTCACTCACTTTAAGGACATCGTTTTAAGGCAGAGATTGGAAACAAATACTGACATTACCAGTGATGCCCAAATCTCATGAAAGGAGGTTTGGGCTCTTCCAGGGCCACTTAGAGGCTGACTTCATTTGTTTCTGAAGAGTCATTGGTCTCAAATGCTAACTTTATTTCTTTCTCCAAAAATACTGTCAGGTCTGCTAAGTTTCTCCAGTGTTTCAGCTTTTATTTCAGACTCCATTATTGCCTTGGTCCAAACACAGACAAAAGAGTGGAGCTCAGGAGATGTGGTGTGAGCGACAGCCCTTGACCAGGCATGGCATCAAGGAGCCCTACTAAAACTGGAATCAATGAGAATCAGGGGAAAGCTCTTTGTTGGTTAGAGACATACCTAGCTCAAAGGAAGATGGTTGTAGTTGTTGGAGGTCAGTCATCTCAGCCCCAGGACACCTCTGCAGGAGATCCACAGTAATGTCCCAGACCCAACCATCTACAGCTGATCATCGAGGACATCCCTCCATCATAGAGTCAGAAGTGCGGATGTTCTCCGATGATTGCACAATGTTCAGCGCCAATCATGATTGCTCAGATTCTGAAGCAGACCATGTCCAAATATAGCAAGAACTGTATAATATACAGGCTTGGGCTGAGAGTAACAAGTAACACCTGAGCCATACAAATGCCAAGCAAAAACCATATCCAACAAGAGACAATCTAAGCATCAACCTCGAACATTCAATGGTGTTACCATCACTGAATCACCCCACTAACAACATTCTGGAGGTTACCATTGACCAGAAACTGAACTGGACTAGTCATATAAGTACTGCAACAAGTGTGGGTCAGAGGCTAGGAATTCTGTAGCAAATAACTCACATACTGACTTCTCAAAGCCTATCTGCCATCTACAAGGCACAAGTCAGGAGTATGTTGGAATACTTCCCACCTGCCTGGGTGAGTGTAGCTCCAACAATACTCAAGAATACATAGATCCTGTGCAGACCAGTTGGCAGAGGTACTCACTGACATCTTAAACCTCTCCCTTCTACAAAGTGAAGTCCCAACCTGTTTCAAGGAGACGACCATCATCCCAGTACCAAAGAAAGCATATGCAACGTGCCTTAATGACTACTGTCCAGTGGCTCTGACCTCCATATTCATGAAGTACTTTGACAGGCTGGTCATGGCCCACATGATCTCTACTCTCACAGCTTGCCTCAGTCCCCTGCAATTTGCCTACTAATGTGACAGGTCCGCAGCAGATGCCATTTCCTTAGCCCTACACTCATCCCTGGGACATCTGGGCAACAAGGACAACGATGTCAGGTTCCTACTCATTGATTACAGCTCCACTTTCAACACCATTATACCCTCCAGACTAATCTCAAAACTCCAAGACCTAGGTCTCGGCTCCGTCCTCTGCAACTAGATCCTCAGCTTCCTGACCCACAGACCGCAATCAATGAAGATTGCGCCTCCTCCATGATGACCCTCACCACTGGAGACCTTAAGGATGCGTTCTCAGCCCCCTACTGTACCTCCTGTACACCCATGACTGTATAGCCAAATTCCGAATGAACGCCATCTACAAGTTTGCTGATGACACTACCGTGGTAAGACAGATATCAAACAATGATGAGTCAGAATACAGAAAGGTGATCGGGGGCTTGGTGTCGTGGTGCAATGATAACAACCTCTCTCTCAATATCAGCGAAACTAAAGAACTGATCATTAACTTCAGGATGAAAGGAGGCGAACACGCCCCTACTTACATCTACGGAGTGGAGGTTGAGAGGTTTGAGCGCATCAAGTTCCTGGGAGTGATGATAACCAACCTGTCCTAGACTTTCCACATAGACGCGTTTGTTAAGAAGGCACAACAACGCCTCTTCTTCCTCAGGCAGCTTAGGAAACTCGGCATGTCCATAAGGGGCTTCACCAATTTTTACAGATGCACCACAGAAAGCATAGTATCTGGGTGTATAACGGCCTATAGGCAACTGCTCTGCCCAGGACTGTAAGAAGCTACAGAAGGTTGTGTACGCAGCCCAGACCATCACGGAAGCCAACTTCCCATCCATGGTCTATTTACACTTCTCGTTGCCAAAGGCTGTAAACATCATCGTAGACCCCTCCCACCCTGATAATGCTCTCCTACAATCTCTTCCGGCAGGCAGAAGGTACAGAAGTTTGAACACATACACCAACAAGTTCAAGAACAGTTTCTTTCCAGCCATTATTAGGCTGATGAATGGACTCTATAATTTCAAGTAATGTTGACCTGTTAAAGTTGATCTTGCTTCGCGTACTTCCTGTGCAGTGTAACCTGTATGTCTCACTCTGTCTAAGCGCCCTATGATCTCTATGTCCTTGTTTACTATGATCTGCCTGTATAGCTTGCAAGCAAAGCTTTTCACTGTACTTAGGTACAGCATGTCCATAAGGACTCTCACCAACTTTTACAGATGCACCATAGAAAACATTCTATCTGCATACAGCATGGCTTGGCATGGCAACTGCTCTGCCCAAGACCGTAAAGAACTACAGAAGGTTGTGAACATAGCCCAGACCATCACACAAGCCAACCTTCCCTCCATTGACTCCATCTACAATTACTGCTACTGCAGGAAGGGAGCCAATATTATCAAAGATTCCTCCCACCACGGTTATAATCTCTTCTAACTTCTTCCGTCAGGCAGAAGATACAAAAGCTTAAATACACATACCAACAGGTTCAGGAACAGCTTCTTTCCCGCTGTTATTAGGTTTCTGAATGGACTTCTCAAATTTCAAACCTAATGTTGATCTTGCTTTTCGTGCACCTCCTTTGCAGCCACAACTTTTATTCCTCGCTATGTTCAATCACCCTATGATCTTTGTATGTTATGAACTGCCTATACTGCACGCAAAACAAAACTTTTCACTGTACTTAGGTACATGTGACAATAATAAATTAAATCCTAATGACATTATCAGTCTACCTACAGCACATGAACTGCAGTGGTTCAAGGTGGCAGTTCACCAACACCTACTCAAGGGCAACGAGGGACACATTGTAATTTCTGACCCAGCCAATGATGCCCATATCAAGCGAATGAATAGAGAAGAACATCACTGTCTTCTCAACCTGTTGCACCTCCAAAATTCCAAGTTAACTTGGCCCAAATGTTTCTTTCTCAAAATTTCCCAATGCCGAATTTAAACTGACTGGCCGAAATTTGCTGGGATGACCTTTGCATGCTTTTGAACAAGGATGTAACATTTACAATTCTCCAGTCTACTGGCACCAATCCAAGTCTAAGGAAAATGTGAAAATTATAGGCAGTGCCTCCATAATTTCCACTCCTGCTGATTAGATAGAGTCAACATGGATTTATGAAGGGAAGTCATGTTTGACAAACCAGATAGAGCTTTTTGAGATGCTGCTGACAGAGTTGATGAGAGGCAACCAGTCAATGTGATGTATTTGGATTTTCAGAGGACATGTTACCATGGACTGAGAATTGGTTAAGGAGCGATAAGCAGAGAAGGAATAAATGTGTCATTGTCAGGGTGGGTGATCGCCACCAGTGGGTATATCACTTGGACCTTAGCTGTTCACATTCTATAAGAATAATCTGGATACAGAGGCTAATTACAATGTTTCCAAGTTATCAGATCATACAAAACATAGCAGGAATGAGAATTATGAGGATGCAATAAGTGTCAGCACAGTGCGCCATCTTGACAAGATGCCCAATCAGTTAAATACTTGTCAAGGGCTGTAACACTCACTTCACCTCCTCTTATCGCCTCACCTTAAATAGCTATCAACTCTGTATAGTTATAATCAGTGAACCCTACCTTGAACAGACAAGGCTCTGTGGGGGATAAATATGCTTTGCTCCCTACCTGTGCATGTCTGCAAGGCGAGCTAGAATTCTTGCAGCATTGCTGAAGTTGCGGTTCTTCTCATAATACCTCCAAAGCAAGTCCATGTAACGAACTTTGTTCTGATCTTGCTTTGCCATACGGACCAAATATGGCTCAAGAAATGGAGAATTAACCTGCATAGAAACATTGAGCACATTAAGTCCTCACTTAAAACTGTGGTTCAGTTCTTGAAAAATGCAAATTTAAGTAAAACAATTTTAAGTGAACCATGGGTTGCCACAGAATTCATTGCTAAAATTGGACTTGATGGTGGCAGGTGGTTATGTCGCTGAGCTAGTAATCCAGCAAACCACACAAATGCTCTGGGAACAAGTTCAAATCCTGTCACAGCAGCTGTGCAATACAAACTAAATTAATAAATCTATAATATAAATAGTCTAATGGTGATCACAAAACCTATCGATTGCAGTAAAAACCCATCTAATTCATGAGCGCCCTTTAAGAAAGGAAATCTGCCTACGTTACTCTGGACCCAAAACAATGTGGTTGACTTTTAACTGCCCTCTGAAATGGCCCGAAAACAAATGCCTATATCCCATGAAAGAATAAAGAATGACCCCCACATCCATTACACAAAGTTAACCCGTTCCCCCAAGTCCCTAAACATCCAACCCTCACAACTCCAGACCACAGACGTAGATTTAAGGTAATTGGAACAAGAAACAGGGTGGTTGAGGTGGTGAGCAGTGAGGAGGATGCAAATTTGTTTCAATGTGATTTGAACAAACTGAGTGGGCAAAATACATGGCAGATTGGAAAAAATTCTGAAGGACAGGATGAATCAACACTTGGAAAAGCAGGGATTGTCAGCATGCATTTGTTAGAGGGAGATCCAGTCTGATTATTTAATGAGTCACCTTTTTAAAAAAAAAAAATTCATTTAATGTGGTTAACATTGACTTCAATAAGGCCTTTAAAGGTCTCACTCGGAAGCGTGGTCCAAAAAGTAGGAGCCCATAGAATCCAAGACAAGTTGGCAAACTGGATCTAAAATTGGCTTGCAAATAAGAGACAAAGGGTGATGAGGGAGGATTGTTTCTGTGATTGGAAACCTGTGATCAGCAGTGTACCATAGGGATTGGTGCTGGGACCCTTGCTGTTTGTTATGTATGTGAATGTAGAAGGTGTAATTAGGAAATTTGCAGATCACACAAAAAATTGAGGATATTGATCATGAAGAGGTCTCATACTATAGTTTGATATTGATCAACTGGTAGATTAGGCAGTTGGAATTTAATCCTGATAAATGCGAAGTGAAGCATTTCAGGAGGTCTAATAAGGTAAGGCTATAAACAATCAATGGTAGGTGTCTACAGAGTACTGAGGAACAAGTTCATAGATCTATGAGGGTGTCAGCATAGGTAGACAGGTTGGTGAAGAAGGCATATGGGAGTTTGCCTTCATTAGCCAGGAGGTCTTGTTATAACTTTAGGAAACATTGGCTAGGCTACAGATGGAATACCATGTGCAGTTCTGATGGCTACACTATCTGAAGGTGGTGACTGCATTGGAAAGGATGAAGAGATTCACCAGGATGGTGCCTGGGATGAAAAGTGATTTGAATAACTGTTTCAAAGAACTCATAGAGAACAGACTGAATGGCCTTTCTCTTTGTTATTCCATTCTACAGACTTAGGCGTAGATAGAGAAAAAAATACACCACATCTATTGATGGAAATCTTTACAAAGAGATTATGGGTTTGTTGTGGGGCTTATGGTCACAGGTGGCAATGGTCAGGATATGGAGGGAGGAATTTGGATCTATTTTGGAATTGTTAGATGAGTAGTCAGAACTGTTCAGGTGGGGAATGGGTAGCTTAAAAGGAATTGGTGTTTTGGATACGGGTGAGGTGGCACCCAGGGTCAAAGGTGGATGTAGCTGTTATACAGAACACTAAGGATTAGAATAAGATTCAGAGAGCAATAATTGTGACGTAAACAAGTACCGAAAGAACTGCAGATGCTGTAAATCAGAACACACAGAGGGAGGACCACTGGACCTGAAATGTTAACTCTGATTTCTCTCCACAAATGCTGCCAGACCTGCTGAGCCTTTCCAGGAATTTCAGTTTTTGTTTCTGATAGCAATGTAAAGACTGGGTCCATTGGAAGTTCAGAATACGAAGGAGAGAAATGAAGTCCAAATGTTGCATAAACAGCAGCCACGGTCAGTTAGTATTTCTGACCTGGCACATAAGGAGCCTAAAATGGTCACAAACTTCAATCAGGTGAGCAGCTCATTATAGTCAGAGCTGGTCTACAGTCATAGCTCAATCCCACTTCGCCTCAGTTGCCTTACTTACCTCCAGCAGCTTGTCCATCAGGTCAGCCTGGATCAGCCAATTAAATAAAGCAATGTTGAAGAGTTCATCTGTCGACCTCTGAGCAAGCTTCAACATTTGTTCAAACTGGGAGAAAGTGAAGAAGCAAAATAATGTCCAAATACCACATATAGATACTCACACTCATTTTTACCAAAACACACTGACACCAATCATCACCATTACCATTACTTGTACATCAATCCTCCCCCACAATCTGTGTACACACCAGCCTAGACCACCACACACAACCCCCAAATCAGACACCAACACTCGATGCACACAACATACCACATACACACATGCTCAATTAGATATTCACGTAACTATCCACTTAAGCTCAGAAGACTCATGAAATTGTGAGATAACGGAATAGAATGGTGCTTACAACAGGGATTTAACAATCAGGGACAGCTAGTGTCTGCTGCAGCCACAAGCTAAAGTCCCGAAGGATGTGCAACCTGCTGATACCAGGTTGATGAGAGAAGAATTTTGAAAATGTAGTAAATTACGTTGAATTAGGAATTAAAATAAAAAGCACGATGTTGGGACTCTCTTTCTCCCTGTTGCCTTGCACATTTTTTCTATTCAAATAATTATCCAATATCCTCTTGAATGTTTCAATTGAACCTGCTATACTTCCAGGCAGTATATTCCAAATTCTATTTAGAGAGTGAAAAAGTTCCCTCACTCCACATTTCCTTCTTTTTCAAATCTGTGCTCTCTTGTTGTTAATAATTTTCCAAATGGGAATAGCTTCTCCCCATCTACTCTATCCAGCCTGCTCATGATTTAAAAAAAAATCACAAACTCTCAAATCTATCCTCATAAGTGTAGCTTCTCAATCCTGGAAAGATTCTTGAAAATTGGAACAGTAATATATTTCCAACTCAGGATGGTCAGTGGCTTGGAGTGGAGCTTGCAGGTGGCTACTGCCCTTGACCTTCTAGATGGAAGTGGTCAGGGTTTGGAAGGTGCTGAAGGAGCCTTGGTGAATTTGTGCAGTGCATCTATAGATAGTACACAGCGCTGCTATTGAGTGCCAGTGGTGGAGTGACTGAATGATTCTTGACGTGGTGCCTACAAGTGGGCTGCTTTGTCCTGGCTGATGTTATGTTACATCCATTCAGGTAAGGAGACTATTCCATCATAACACTCACTTGTGGCTTGTAGATGATGGACAGGCTTTGGGGTATCAACAGGTGATTAACTCATTGCAGTATTCCTAGTCTCTGACCCCCTCTTGTAGCTGCCATATTTATGTGGTGAGCCCAGTTGATTTTCTGTCAATCATTATCGCCAGTATGTTAATAGTGGGAGATTCAGTGATGGTAACATCATTGAATGTCAAGGAGCCATGGTTAGATTATCCCTTAATGGAAATGGTCACTGCCAGGTATTCATGTGGTGCGAATGTTACTTCCCACTTGTCAGCATAAGCCTAGATGTTATCCAGATCTTGTTGCATTTGACATGGACTGCTTAAGTATGCAAAGATTCACAAATGGTGATGAACATTGTGCAGTCATTGGCGAACATCCTCACTAATGACTTTATGATGGATGAAAGATTGTTTGGACCGAGGACACTACACTGAGGAACTTTGGCAGATATGTCCTAAAGCTGAGATGACTAAACCCAACAACCACAATCATCTTTTTATATACCAGGTATAACTCCAACCTGTGAAGAGGTTGCGCCCTGATACCCATTGACTCCAGTTTTGCTAGGGCTCTTTGATGCCACACTCAGTCGAATGCTGCCTTGATATCAAGGGCTGCCACTCTCACCTCACCTCTGGAATTCAGCTCTTTTGTCCATGTTTGAACCAAGGTTGTAATGAGGTAAAGAACTAAGTAGCCCCGATGGAACCCAAACTATACATCAGTGAACAAAACCGGCTCTTTCTCGATTACATATCTGATGCAATTGTATATGTAACACACACACCATATGTACTCATACAGCTCACACTAGTCCTGGTATATTTGACAAGAGAGATGTATGTACACCACCCAGATACTAACATGCTGCGTTGCCTCCTCATTACTCAACATGTTGGGGTCAGATGACAGTACTGGAGGACCTGGTAGTTTGGGGACGCTGGGAGACTGTGGAGCAGCCTTACTCTGGTTCACCAGCTCCTGCAGTGTGTCCGAGATGCATTTGTAGCAGTTCAGCCTGAAGAACACAACATAACTCAGGGTCAGCTGTTAGGTGAACAAAGAATTCAGCAGTGTTTGGAGTTTGGGGCTAAGGAGGTCAGAGGTTCCAGGGTTAAAAGTAAGGTTTGCAAGATAAGTAAAGAGACATCATATCCAGAATGAGACATAGCCCAATTGGGTATATAGATCAGGGATTTGGACGGCAGCATAAGAATTCTGTGCAGAAGGGAATAGTTGCTTTTTGCTTACTTTCTTGAAGCCCATGATCAGGGGCCCAGCACAAAATGAGTGACATCACAGGAAAATCACCTCTTCATTCATTGGTAATAGCTGTTATTTGACTATTATAGGTTACTTTCAGGTTGAAGGTAAATAGGAACAATATTTGCAGATTACAAACTAAAAGATCAGTAGGATGTTTTTATAAACCAAATTAAGAACAAAGTATATTAAATAGAAATGCAGGGTTGTCACCTGACGAAGGAGCAGTGCTCCAAAGGCTTGCGATTTCCAATAAACCTGTTGGACTATAAGCTGGTGTCATGTGAGTTCTGAATTTGGCTCAAAGATTGGTATGGGGAAAAACGGGTTCAAATACATGGGTACTGGGGAAGGAGGGAGCTGTTCCTATGGGATGACCCTCCACCTGAATCATTTCGAGACCACAGTCCTGGTGGATTGCATAACTAGGGCTGTGGATAAGGTTTTAAACTAAATAGTGGTGGGTGGGGTGCATTCAGTTACAAGGAAAATTATGGAAAAACTTCAGGGTAGCCGAGGGCTCAGCAGAGATTATCAAAGTTTACAAAACAAGTAAATATGGTACTGTCAACGCAAGATTGAGGCAGTTGTACTCCGATACATGCAGTGCGTGAAAGAAAGTAATTGAGCTTATAGCAGAGATTGAAATCGGTGAATACAATGTTGTAGGTATCACAGAGACGTGGCTGCAAGGGGTTCAGAGCTCTGAACCAAGAATACGAGGTCTATCGAAAGACAGGCAAATGGGCAGGAGGATGAGGTTGCCTTGTTAGTGAGAAATGAAATTAAATCAACTGCAAGCAGTGATATAGAGTTAGATGGCGTAGAATGTGCACGTCGAGTTGAGGAACCACAAAGGAAAACAACCCTGATGGATGTTATATACAGGCCTCCTAGCAGTACAGTCATACAATTATACAGCATGGAAATGGACCCTTTGGTCCAATTAGTCCACACTAACCATGTTCCCAAACTAAACTAGTCCCACTGGCCTGTGTATGACCCATGTCCCTCCAAACCTTTCCTATTCATATACTTATCCAAATGTTTTTTAAGCATTGTAACTGTACCTGCATCCAACACTTCGCCTGGCAGTTCACTCCACACACTAAGCACTCTGTAAAAGGTTGCCCCTCAGGTCCTTTTTAAATCTTTCTCCTCTCACCTTAAAAATATGCCTCCTAGTTTTGAACACCCCACCTTATGGAAAGGACCTTTGCTATTCACCCATCAATGCCTCTCATGATTTTATAAAGCTCTATATAAGGTCACCCCTCAACCTCCTACATTCCAGTAAAAAAAGTCCCAGTCTGTCTATATAACTCAAACCCTCCATTCCTGCCAACATCTTGGTAACTCTTTTCTGAACCCTCTCCAATTTTTAAAAATAATATCCTTCTTACAGCAGGGTGACCAGACTGCACACAGTACTCCAGAAGACGTCTCACCAACATCCTGTACACCCGCTATGCGACACCCCAACTCTTACACTCAAAAGTCTGAGCAATGAAGGGAAGCGTGCTAAATGCCTTCTTATCCACCCATCTCCCTGAGATGCAAATTTCAAAGTATTATGTACCTCGGATGGTGATGGCTAGCACGAGGGGACATAGCTTTAAATTGAGGGGTGATAGATATAGGACAGATGTCAGAGGTAGGTTCTTTACTCAGAGAGTAGTAAGGGCGTGGAATGCCCTGCCTGCAAAAATAGTAGACTCGCCCACTTTAAGGGCATTTAAATGGTCATTGGATAAACATATGGATGATAATGGAATAGTTTAGGTTAGATGGGCTTCAGATAGGTTTCACAGGTCGGCGCAACATCGAGGGCCGAAGGGCCTGTACTGCGCTGTAATGTTCTATGTTCTATGTATGAACCTCTAGGTCTCTCTGTTCTACAACTCTACCCAGGGCCCGACCATTAATTGCATAAGACGTGTTCTTGTTTGCTTTGTCAAAATGCAATACCTCTCATTTATCCAAATTAAACTCCATCTGTTAGTTCTCAGCCCATTGACCCAATCGATCAAGATTGCTTTTTAATCTTAGATGACCCTCTTCACTATCCACCAGACCACCAATTTTGGTGTCAACCGCAAACTTACTAACCATGTATCATATATTCTCATCCAAATTATTTATGTAAATGACAAATAAAAGTTTCTGTGGGCAAGAAAATAAATCAAGAGATAAAAAAGGCATACAAGAGGACAGTAATACAATAATCATGGGGTCTTCAATATGCAGGTGAACTGGGAAAATCAGATTGGCAGTGGGTCCCAAGTAAAAGAAATTGAGGAATGTCTGTGAGATATTTTTTTGGAGCACTTTGTGGTAGAGGTCACTCGGGAACAGTCAACTCTGGATTTAGTGATGTTTAATGAGGGAGACTTGTTAGAGAGCTTAAGGTAAAAGAATCCCAAGTGGGCAGTGACCATAATATGATAGAATTCACCATGCAGTTTGAGAGGGAGAAGCTGGAATCAGATGTAATGGTATCATAATTGAGTAAAGGTACCTTCAAAGACATGAGGGAGAAGATGACCACAGTCGATTGTAAGGGGAACCTTGCAGAGAAGACAGTGGAGTAGGAATGGCAGGCGTTTCAGAGGGTAATTCAGAAGGCGCAGCAGAAATTCATCCCAAGGAAAAAGAAACATACTAAGGAGAGGACGTGGCAACCAAGACTGGCAAGGGAAGTTAGGGAAGGGGAGGCGATGGCCTAGTGGTATTATCGCTGGACTGTTAATCCAGAGACCCAGATAACATTCTGGGGACCCAGGTTCAAATCCTGCCATGACAGATGGTGAATTTGAATTCGATAAAATATCTGGAATTAAGAATCTAATGATGGCCATGAATCCATTGCTGATTGTTGGAAAAATCCACCTGGCTCACTAATGTCCTTTAGGGAAGGAAACTGCCACCCTTACCTGGACTGGCCCACATATGACTCCAGGCCCACAGCAATGTGGTTGACTCTGAACTGCCCTCTAGGCAATTAGGGATGGGAATAAATGCTGCCTAGCCGTGATGCCCTCATCCCATTAATGAATAAAAAAAAAACTCTAAATTAAACTCCATCTGCCACTCCAACTGACCAACCTGATCAAGGTCCAGTTGTCTGAGGCAACTATCTTGGCTGTCCACTACATTACTGATTTTGGTGACATCTGCAAACTTAGTAACCATACGTTCACATCCAACTCATATATATAAATGACAAAAAGCTGTGGACCCCGCACCAATCCTTGTGGCATACCGCTGGTCACAGGCCTCCAGTTTGAAAAGCACCCTCTGTCTCCTACCTTCGAGCCAGTTCTGTATCCAAACAGCTACTTCTCCCTGTATTCCGTGTGATCTAACCTTGCTAACCAGTCCACCATGTGGAACCTTGTTGAAGGCCTTACTGAAGTCCATATAGATCGCATCCACCACTATGCCCTCATCAATCTTCTTCATTACTTCTTCAAAAAAGCCAAGTAAGTAGTGAGACACAATTTTCCATACACAAAGCCATGTTGACTATCCTTAATCAGTCTTTGCCTTTCCAAACACATAAATCCTGTCCCTCAGGATTCCCTCGAACAACTTGCCTACCACCAACGTCAGGCTCACCAGTCTATAATTCCCTAGCTTTTCCTTACCACCTTTCTTATACAGTGGTACCAAGTTAGCCAACATCCAGTCTTCTGGCACCTCACCTGTGGCTATCTACGATACAAATATCTCAGTTAGGGGCCCAGCAATCTCTTTCCTAGCTTCCCACAAAGTTCTAGGGTATACCTGATCAGATCCCAGGGATAATCCACCTTAATGCATTTGAAGACGTCCAGCACCTCCTCCTCCGTAATATAGACATTTTTCAAGATGTTGATATTTATTTTCCCAAGTTCTCTAGCTTCTATATCTTTCTCCATAGTAAACACTGATGCAAAACATTTGTGTAGTAGCTTCCCTAACTCCTGTGGTTCCACACATAAGCGGCCTTGCTGATCTTTAAGGGGCCCTATTCTCTCTCTAGTTATATTTGGATTTTCAGACAAGGTGCCACACAGGAGACTGCTAAGGAAGACAAGTGCTCATGGTGTTAGGGGCAAGGTACTGGCATGGATAGGGGACTGCTGACTGGCAGAAAGCAGAGTAGGTAAAATGGGGCAAGAGACAGGGTGTGTGTTCAGGGTCAGGTGAGGCTTAGATTCGGGGGATCAGGTGTGCTCTCACTTCAGGAGAGCCAAGCAGGATTCAGGGGGCAGACTTAGTGTCAAACAGGTCATCAAATCTGGATTTTAACCTGAAGGTTAAACATCCAGATATAGCATTGGCTCACCTCTCCTGGAAGGCTTGCTGTCCAATTGGATCTTCTTCTGGCTCTCCATTCTTATAATAATGAAGGCCCAGGCCCTGTGGATCCTTCTTATCAGCAGCAGAAAGGCTCAACTCAGCCACAGCCTCATAGTAACGCACTGGAAAAGTAAAGAGAACAGGAGCATCATCCAATCTTGCCAGAATTACTATTGCATGCATTCTCAACCGGATAACATACCTAATTCACACAAACACAACCTCCTCTTTGTCCCCTGATGCTCTCACCTTGCCTGAACTGTGTACAGACACTGGGAAGGTCAACCTGGTGCCCGATCTCCTGATACAGGCGTAGTGACTCTCTCATGGCTTTCTCCTTCTCTGCCTTGTTCTGAACCTGTCGTGCGCTCTGCAGCAGCTCATTCGCCTGGAAAATAAGACAATCTAAGGTTTTGGAGTAGATCTGTAGCTCGGGTTGTGGGTGTTGAGGTTGGTTGGCTCGCTAAGCTCGTTTGTTGTTCCGCAGACGTTTCGTTACCATGCTTGGTAACATCCTCAGTGCAGCCTCTGATGAAGTTTCGGTGTGTTTTCCCGCCTGGTTTTTACCACGCCTGGTGCAAACACTATTTAAAAGGGCAACAACACACTGCAGCAACATAGAACTACGCCAAGAGGAGGAGGAATACCTCTTCCAAGTGTTCAAGGATAATGGATATCCAAAGAACTGGGTCAGGAGATGCCTACGGGAACAGCATCAGAAAGATTCTACACACCCCGACACACTCATCACACTACCCTACATCAGGAACACGTCAGAACTCACCACAAGACTTCTACGACCCCTGGTCATCAGAGTGGCACACAAACCCACATCAACCCTACGACATGTGCTCAGCCGAACTAAAGACCCACTCCCCGCCATGGACAGGACCAATGTCATCTACAAGGTCCCCTGCAGAGACTGCGAGAAACACTACATCGGACAAACAGGAAGGAAATTAACAACAAGAGTACATGAGCACCAACTGGCTACAAAAAGACACGACCAATACTCACTCATCTCAATCCATGTGGACAAGGAGAACCACGACTTCGACTGGAACAACACCAAGATCCTGGGACAGGCTGGGCAGAGACAAGCACGAGAATTCCTGGAAGCATGGCACTCCACGAAGCATGCTATTAATAAAGACATTGAACTCGACCCCGTATACATTCTACTTTGGAGGAAACCCGGAAGTGAGGCAATCCATCGCAACGGACCCCAGAGTTTAAAAACCAGGCGGGAAAACACACCGACGCTTCATCAGAGGCTGCACTGAGGATGTTACCAAGCACCGTAATGAAACGTCTGCGGAACAACAAACTAGCTCGGCGAGCCAACCAACCTCAAAATAAGACAATCAGAAATGCATAAATAATAATAATTATTCAATAAAACAGAATGGTCAATAGATCTGTGCACCATTCACAATTCCTCAGATGCCAAAGCAGTCCATGTCCAAAAGCTGCAAGTCCTGCTCAATATCCAGGATTAGGCTGAAGAGTGGAGAGTAACATTTGTGTCACACAAGTGCCAAGCAATGACAATCTCCAACAACACTCAAGAAGCTCGACACTATCTGGAATGAAGCAGGCCTTGATTGGCACCACATCCACAAGCATCCAGTCCTTCCACCACTGATGCTCAGTAGCAGCAGTGTGCACAATCTATAAGATATATTGCAGAAATCCATGAAGGCTCTTTAGACAGCACCTTCCAATCCCAAAACCACTGTCATTGCAAAGGACAATGGCAGCAAATAATGTGGGGAGAAATCCACCTGCAAGATTCTCTCCAAGACACCCACCACCCTGACTTGGAAATATGTAACCGTTCCTTCACTGTCACCGGGTGAGATACTGGAACTCCCTTCCCAGCCCAAGGACTGCATTTCAAAAAGGCAGGTCACCACCACATTCGTCAGTGAAATTAGAGACAGAAACAAATGCTGGCCCAGCCAACAACACGCACATCCCTGTGATTGGAAGAGGACAGTTGGCTAATGGATAGGCTGTTTAAGGGAGTTGAAATATTCATATCTCTAAGGTTTCAGAGTAGATTTGGAGCTTGGGTTGTGAATGTTGAGGTTGGTTGGCTCACCGAGCTGGTTTGTTGTTCCGCAGACGTTTCATTACCCTGCTGGGTAACATCATCAATGCAGCTGCAGGATAATGAAACATCTGCGGAACAACAAACCAGCTCAGCAAGCCAACCAACCACAATATTCATATCTATTGTTTCTTCAGCTCCAATTTCCATTATCTGTAACATTCTGCGTTGAGTTTTAAGTTTCAATGAAGGCTTGTTGGGAGGGAGTGCAGTCCTCAGGATTAGGGATATTGGTCAGTTCGGGGATTACTTGTCAGATAGAGTGCACTGATATTCATTAAGAAAGCAAATCAGACACCTTGTGCCATAACTGATCCCATGCCTTCAAGTCCGAGCCCATCCCTTTATTGACCATACCTTGGAACACACTGCATCGTCGTTGCTGTAGAGCAGGGGGCAAGTGTCCCTCAGGTGCTTACTGATGGCATCTACTGAGGCATTGTCCCCAATGTATCGGTTAATAAGTGAAGTTATGAGCGCCCCACCTAATTCCTTCCCTCGGATAACCAAATCCCGGAATGGAGTTGATTTCAACTGTTCCTGGAGTTCCTGCAAAAAGGAAAATATGCTCAGCACTGGTATTCAAATTCCAAATTGGATTTTATCCCCAGAAGGTTTAAAACAATTGACAGGTTTTGCACACCAATCTATTCATATTTTTCAATGGGAACAAATGCATTGAGTTTAGCATTGGGAGAGACAGAGTTCTAACTCAGATAATTAAACTGGATCATAAGAAAGCAGGCAACTCTGGTCCAATTAGCTTAACATTTACCATCAAAATATATCAAAAGGAGTAGCAATGTACAATCTGTCAAGCCTGCTCTGCCATTCTATTACCTCAGGGCTGATTATTTACCTTAATGCCACATTCCTGCATTCCTTCGATGTCTTTAGTTCCCAGAAACCTGTCAATTTCTCACAATGTCTCCTGCACATTTACAATGATTGAGCTTTCTCTGGCGTAGAGAATTCCAAATATTCCCCACTCTTTAAGTGAAGAAATTCCTCCTCAACCCAGTCTTAAATGGTCTACCCTTATCCTGGTCCCCTGGTTTCAGATTCACCAGGTGGGGGGAAAAAACTTATCTATGTCCATCCACTCTACCAACCCTTTAAGAGTCTGTTAAGTTTCAAAGAGGTCATCTTCAAAATTCTAGAGAATATAGACTCAGCTTCCTCAATCTCTCCTCATAAGAAAATCTCGACATGCCTAGGATCAGAACCTCAGTGTACTCCCGGAGTACAACTCCCTGACTAAACTACCTCCAAGATTGAAGGTGAAAAAGTGCTGAGTGGGAGGGTGAGCTGTGACTGGAACAAGTTAACTAAGTGGACAAAACACGAAAGATGAAATTTAATGTGGATAAATGTGTTTATCCATATTGAAAGCAGAAACAAGGAGGCAAATAATCTGAACAGCGATAAATTGAGAGACGGCATTATACAATGAGATCTGGGTTTTCTCACATACCTGTAACTGAAGGTAAGCATGTAGGTGCAGCAGGCATTCGAGAAAGCAAATGGTAGTTGGTCTTCATAGTGATAGGAATCGAGTACAGGAGCAGGGATGTCATGCTGCAATGGTACAGGGCAGTAGCAAGACTACATCTGGAATATGAGTGAAGTTTTGGTCTCCTTATTCGAGGAAGAATTTTCAGGTAGGCTGATGGAGAAAGTGACTCCATGGTAGGCTGATGGAGAAAGTGAAGTCGCATGGGGTCCAGGGTGTACTAGCTAGATGGATAGAGAACTGGCTGGGCAACAGGAGACAGAGAGTTGTAGTGGAAGGGAGTTTCTCAAAATGGAGAACTGTGACCAGTGGTGTTCCACAGGGATCTGTGTTGGGACCACTGTTGTTTGTGATATACATAAATGATCTGGAGGAAGGTATAGATGGTCTGATTAGCAAGTTTGCAGATGACACTAAGATTGGTGGAGTAGCAGATAGTGAAGGGGACTGTCGGAGAATGCAAAAGAATATAGATAGATTGGAGAGTTGGGCGGAGAAATGGCACATGGAGTTCAATCCAGGCAAATGCGAGGTGATGCATTTTGGAAGATCCAATTCAAGAGCGAACTATACAGTAAATGGAAAAGACCTGGGGAAAATTGATGCACAGAGAGATCTGGGTGTTCAGGTCCATTGTACCCTGAAGGTGGCATCGCAGGTGGATACAGTGGTCAAGAAGGCATACGGCATGCTTTCATTCATCGGACGGGGTATTGAGTACAAGAGTTGGCAGGTCATGTTACAGTTGTACAGGACTTTGGTTCGACCACATTTGGAATACTGCGTACAGTTTTGGTCGCCACATTACCAAAAGGATGTGGACGCTTTGGAGAGGGTGCAGAGGAGGTTCACCAGGATGTTGCCTGGTGTGGAGGGCGCTAGCTATGAAGAGAGGTTGAGTAGATTAGGATTATTTACATTACAAAGACAGAGGTTGAGGGGGGTCCTGATTGAGGTCTACAAAATCATGAGGTATAGACAGGGTGGATAGCAAGAAGCTTTTTCCGCAGAGTGGGAGACTCAATTACTAGGGGTCACGATTTCAAGGTGAGAGAGGAAAAGTTTGAGGGAGACATGCTTGCAAAGTTCTTTACGCAGAGGGTGGTGGGTGCCTGGAACGTGTGGCCAGCGGAGGTGGTAGAGGCGGGCATGATAGCATTATTTAAGATGTATCTAGACAGATACATGAATGGGCAGGGAGCAGAGGGATACAGATCCTTGGAAAATAGGCGACAGGTTTAGATAGAGGATCTGGATTGGCACAGGCTTGGAGGGCCGAAGGGCCTGTTCCTGTGCTGTAATTTTCTTTGTTCTTTGTCGTGAAGGAAGGTCAACAAAGGGATTCCTGCAAAATTCTAACAGGAATGGATAGTGTAGATGCAGGAAGGATATTCCTGATGGTGGGAGAGTGTGGAACCAGGGGTTACAGTCTAAGGATACAGGGTAAACTATTTAGATTTAAGTGAGGAGACATTTCTTCACCAAGTATGTGATGAGTCTGTGGACTTCAGAACATAGAAAGCAGGCGAGGCCAAATCATTGAATATTTCAAGATGGAATTGAACCTAAAGGGATCAAAGGATATGGGATAATTTAGAAAGGGTTGAATGATCAGCCTTGATCACAACGAATGGCGTAGCAGGCTCAAAGGCCTGGATGGCCTACTTCTGCTTCTACTTTCCATGTTTCTTATAGAAACCAACAAATTTCTAACAGAACTACACAGGGTAAACAAAGGAAGGATGTTCCCGATGAATAGTGAGTCTAGACTCAAAGAAATGAAACTGGACGGATCACCTGGCATCAACCAGTGCGGTAGGGGCGTGGAATGCATTGCCGGAGAGGGTAGTGGAGTCGGCCTCATTAGGGGCATTTAAGCTATTAGATAGGCATATGGATGATAGTATAAGCTAGGGGTGGAGGTTAGATAGACCTTAGGTTTAGGGTAAAAGTTCGGCACAACATCATGGTCCGAAGGGCCTGTACTGTGCTGTATTGTTCTACGTTCTAACCTAAGCACCGGAAAAGACAACGGCAGAAACAGCCCTGTTGACCGTGCAAAGTCCTCCTCACTAACATCTGGGGGTTAGTGCTAAAATTGGGAGAGCTGTCTCACAGACTAGTTAAGCAACAGCCTGACATAGTCATATTCACAGAATCATATCTTACAAACAATATCCCAGACACCACCATCACCATCCCTGGATACGTCCTGTCCCACTGGCAGGACAGACCCAGCAGAGGGGGCAGCTCATGAGTATACAGTCGGGAGGGTGTTGCTCAGGGAGTCCTCAACATTGACTCCGGACTCCATGAAATCTCATGGCTTCAAGTTAAACATGGGTAAGGAAACCTCCTGCTGATTACCACATACCGTCCTCCCTAAGCTGATGAATCAGTACTCCTCAATGTTGAATGACACTTAGAGGAAGCACTGAGGATGGCGAGCACACAAAATGTACTCTGGGTGGGAGATTTCAATGTCCACCACCAAGAGTGGCTCAGCAGCAGTACTACTGATTGAGCTGGTCGGGTCCTAAAGGACATTGCTGCTAGACTGGGTCTGCAGCAGGTGGTGAGGGAACCAACAAGAAGGAAAAACATACTTGACCTCATCCTTACTAATCTGCCAGCTGCAGTTGCATCTGTCCATGACAGATCGGTAAGAGTGACCAATGCACAGTCCTTGTGGAGACGAAGTCCCGCCATCACATTCATAACAACCTCCATCGTTTTGTGTGGCACTATCACCATGCTAAATGGGACAGACTTCGCACAGATCCAGCAACTCAAAACTGGGCATCCATGAGGTGCTGTGGGCCATCAACAGCAGCAGAATTGTACTCCAGCACAATCTGTAACCTCATAGCCTGGCATATCTCCCACTCAGCCATTACCATCAAGCCAGGATCAACCCATGTTCAATGGAGAGTGCAGGGGGGCATGCCAGGAGCAGCACCAGGCATACCTGAAGATGACGTATCAACCTGGTGAAGCCACCAAACACTTGCACGCCAAACAGCGATAGCAGCAAGTGACAGACAGAGCTAAGCGAGCCCACGACCAATGGATCAGATTTAAGCTCTGCAGTCCTGTCACATCCAGTCGTGCATGGTGGTGAACAATTAAACAACTCACTGGAGGAGGAGGGTCCACAAATATTCCCATCCTCAATGAGGGATCAGCCCAGCATATCAATACAAGAGATAAGGCTTAAGCGTTCGCAGCATTCTTCAGCCAGAAGTGCCGAGTGGATGATCCATCTCGGCCTCCTCCAGCGGTCCTCAGCATTACAGATACCAGTCTTCAGCCAATTCGATTTACTCCACGGATGGAGACACTGGATACTGCAAAGGCTATGGGCCCTGACAACATTCCAGCAATGGTACTGAAGACTTGCGCTCCAGAACTTGCCGCTCCCCTCGCCAAGCTGCTCTAGTACAGTTACAACACTGGTATCTACCCGACAATATGGAAAATTGCCCAAGTATGTCCTGTACACAAAAAGCAGGACAAAACCAACCCGGCCAATTACCGCCCCATCAGTCTGCTCTCGATCGTCAGTAAAGTGATGGAAGGTGTCATCAACAGTGCTGTCAAGCAGTACCTGCTCAAAAATAACCTGCTCAGTGATGCCCAGTTTGGGTTCCGCCAGGGCCACTCAGCTCCTGATCTCATTACAGCCTTGGTTTAAACATAGGCAAAAGAGCTGAATTCCAGAGGTGAGGTGAGAGTGACAGCCCTTGATATCAAGGCTGCATTCGACCAAGTGTGGCATCAAGGAGCCCTAGCAAAATTGGAATCAATGGGTATCAGGGGGCAAAAGCTCCGGTGGTTGGAGTCATACCTGACACAGAGGAAGATAGTTGTGGTTGTGGGAGGTCAATCATCTCAGCACCAGGACATCTCTGCAGGAGTTGGCAAGGATGGCATGGTGGCTCAGTGGTTAGCACTGCTGTCTCACAGTGTCAGGGACCCAGGTTTGATTCTAGCCTCGGGTAACTATCTGTGTGGAGTTTGCACATTCTCCCGGTGT